TGGCGGACTCGCGGGGCGGGGGATAGGGGGCAAACCCCTGCCGAGAAACGTCTGTGCAGAGCAGACGGGGGCTTGGCACGGGGGCCTCCCCAACAGGCCCCCTGTGGGAAATCCGCTCCGGGAGCAACGGGCCAGCCGAGCCGTGACCCCGGGGCTTGGGCTCAGAGCGGAGCTCTCCATCCAGTGAAAGGGCTGTGGGCAACCCCCTCGAGTGCCAGGCCGGGACCGCTGGCCCCCGAGGGGACTCGGCTCGGGACTAACGGGCCCCGTCCCCAGGCACTGGAGAGACCCCCACGCTGGGCACGCTGGATTTCTACATGGCCAAACTGCACAGCGCCATCGAGAGCAACCCCCTCCAGCACGAGAAGCTGGTTGTGCGCATCAAGGAGATCCTCTCCCGGATAGCCAGGTGAGCGGGGCTGGCTCTCGCCTGGCAGGGGTTCGGTGCCCACGGCTCTGGGGGGGGGGCCGGATCGGTGCTGGGGGGAAGCCTGCTCTTTCCCCCCCTCGCAGCCCTAGGACACAGCTAGAACAGCCCAAATGTCCCCGGGGCATCCGCAGGCCAGCTCAGTGCTGAGCCAACCTGTGACTGGAGGGCCCATGCGTGGGGCTTGTAACTCTACGTTTTGGGGCCCACGTGGTTGGGGAGGCCCCGTTTTCCATGGCAGCCGGGGGACAGGGCAGGGTATGTCCTGGGCTTCCCCCCCTCGCAGCCCTAGGACACAGCTAGAACAGCCCAAATGTCCCCGGGGCATCCGCAGGCCAGCTCAGTGCTGAGCCAACCTGTGACTGGAGGGCCCATGCGTGGGGCTTGTAACTCTACGTTTTGGGGCCCACGTGGTTGGGGAGGCCCCGTTTTCCATGGCAGCCGGGGGACAGGGCAGGGTATGTCCTGGGCTCGCCTGTCCTGCTCTTCCTGCTGGGATTGTCTCCCACCCTTCCCCATCCCGCTGGCCTTGAGTTCACATCGCAGCATCTGCTCCTGCAGGCAACTGTTGCCTAGGTGGGCGGTGCCATAGACGCTGAAATCTCCCCCATCTGCCTCAGGGACATCCCCAGGGTGGGCTGGAGGCAGGCGTGGGTAGCAGGGAAGAGACACAGAACGCCCCTGGCTGAGGACGAGCCGAGCGTGCCCACACGTGCCTTTTTCTTTCCTGTTCTTAGTGAACACTTATGAAAGGCCTGGTGTGGCCTGCGGCCCAGCACTGACTCAGCCTGGGAGCCTCGGCCACCTCCCTCCGCCCACCCTGACGCCTGGAATCCGCCGGAGCCTCGCACCTCAGCAGCTCTGCCTTGCACAGATCTCTGCTGGAGAAGGGCTTGGAGCAGGCTGAGTAACTCTGGGTCCTTCCCTGCAGCTGAGAACTGGGCCGGGCTCTTGTGGAGGCTGGGGGCAGGCCCCCAAGTGGGACACAGAGCAGCGTGCGGGGTCACTTGGCTGCCCCTGGCTCGCTGAGTGGCAGGGCTGGGGCTCAGCGCAGGGG